GAAAAAAGACAAAAAAAAAAATTAATTAAAAATAAGTAAATAAATAAATACAGATAGGTTAGAAGTAAAGAACTGAAAAAGATATGCCATGCCAACACTAAACAAAAAAAAGTTTGACTGGCTATAATCAACATAAAACAAAATAGCCATCCAAATAAGAAATCTTTCCAAATATAATGAAGAACATTTCCTAATGATGAAAGCATTAATTCATCAACAGGACAAACAATCTTAAGTATGTATACACCTAATGAGCAAGCTTTAAAATACACAAGGTAGGACCGAACCCGTGGCGCACTCGGGAGAGTGCAGTGCTGGGAGCGCAGCAGTGCTCCCGCTGCGGGTTTGGATCCTATATAGGGATGACCGGTGCGCTCACAGCGCTCACTGGCTGAGTGCGATGCAGCCGGTCTCAAAAACGACAAAAAAAAAAAAAAATACATAAGGAAAAAACTGACAGAAATGAAGAGAAAAATACGACAAATCCACATTACAGTTGGATATTTCAACCCTCGTAATAGCCCCAAACTGGAAACAAACTAAATGTCCTTCAACTGTCAGTGAATAAATAAATGATAGTATATCCACACATCCTATGGGACACTATCAATAATCAGAGACTAACTACTGATACATGCAACAACATGAATGAATCTCAAAAGCATCATGCTAAGTGAAAGAAGCCAGAAACAAAAGACTACTACTACTGCACGATTCCGTTTATGTAAAATTTCTTTAAAAGGCAAAATTGAAGTGACAGATAAGTGGTTACAAGGAACTGGAAGAAGGGAGAAGATTGACTCCAAATAGGCCCAGGGAACTTTCTGGGGCAGTAGAATGTGGTGGTGGTTACATGCTTAACATTTGTCGAAACGTATTTGAAAATGATAAATGTATGCATTGATGGATACCCCAATAACCCTGATTTGAACAGTATACATTGTATACATGTATCAAAATATCACAGGTACCCCATAAATATGTACAATTATTATTTATCAATAATTTTTTTAAAAATGCATTTGTACACAGAATCGATGAATTTTGTTGTATATAAAGTAACTTCAATAAAACTAAAAAAAAACATCTGACATAGTAAAATAGAGTGATTTAACTAGTGATTTACTTCCAGTAAATCAATCAACACCCCAACAAAATAGCATTTTTTTCTTTGCTTCTTATCCATAGAAACACTGTATTCCTATTAACGCAAACAAAAAAGCATTCTGCAAACGGCTAGAACAGAGAAAGTACAAGACAAGCCTAGAACATATTGTGCCAGAAAAATAAAGAAGTGCTTGAAAAAATGATGGGGACTTCGAAAAGGACAGCTTGTAGAGGCTCTCAAGAGTCAAATCTAAGGATAATACAAGCAACAAAATGACAGTAATGGATTATAATCTCTCTGAAAATGCATTATTTGAAAAATAAAGAAACAATTATAACATAAATAGTATATAACAACCCATAAATCCATACTAAAACTTGAACCACATCAATAAATAAAAGGGAGAGTAACAGACATGATAAAACGGAGGTGCAATGATGATGGAGTTTTGAAAATAACCATTTCGCAACCTTCATGAGTAACAACTGATTCAGGAAAAAACTATCAATGGACCCTAAAACTTGTGTATAAAAGTTTGACAAGAAACAGGGTGTTTACATTATCTTACCACAAATTACTATTAATTACAAAGAGAAAAACAGTAATGAAGGGGAGAAACTTGGCAAACACTACCTTAACCAAGTGTTTAAAGACAACATTACCAATAATTGGACAAACCATAATCATAAGCATTTGATGTGGTGCTCCAAAAAGACTACAACATCGTTTATGTTGTATTCTTTTTTTTTTTTTTTTTTTTTTTTAAAAAGATGACCGGTAAGGGGATCTTAACCCTTGACTTGGTGGTGTCAGCGCGCTCAACCAGCGAGCGAACCAGCCATCCCTATGTGGGATCCGAACCCGGGGCCTTGGTGTTATCAGCACCTCACTCTCCCGAGTGAGCCACGGGCCGGCCCGTTTATGTTGTATTCTGTAAAAATGCATAACCTAAACTAATGAAGATATAAACAACCCAAACTGAGGCATTCTACAAAATTCCTGGCCTATACTCTTCAAATATGTTAATATCATGAAAGTCAAAAACTAAGAACCTGCTCCAGATTAAAGGAGATTAAGGAAATATGACACTTAAATTGCATGTGCGATCCCAAACTGAAATTAGGGGAGAACAAAAAAAGCTGTAACAGATGCTATTACAGCTGGCGAAATCAAATTACAGACTGTAGATTTGAGAATAGTACTATTTAAGTGTTAAATGTCCACTGATAATTGTCTACAGTTATGTAAGAGATTATCACTCTTAGAAAATACATATTAAAGTACTTAGGGGTAAATAGGGTATAAGGTCCAGAACTTAAGTCTCGAATGGCTCAAAACAATATATACAGAGAGAGAGAGAAAATGAGAAAAAAAAAAAACCAAATATTGCAAAGTATTAATGATATAAAGGTATAGGAGTTCTTTGTATCAGTCTTTAAATTCTTCAAATAAACAGCTTTTAAAAAAAAGGAAAAAACAAAGACTGCACTTACTAGTTGCCACATAGCCTAGCTGTGGAACCAAATGTTCATCTGAAGAATTTTCTCGGCCTGGTACTAGTCTCTGATACTTAGTTGGATGAGGGTTTCCATCTACATCTACCAAAAATGGTGGAGGCATAAGATGCGGCGCCTGCTGAGTTTGCTCATCTAAGACGTAATTATTAGAATCTCTAATCAGTGGGCGATAGTCAGTATGGAAGAACATCTGATCAGGAATCTAGAAAAATGAAGTTCATAGGACATTTTGAAGTTTATATATATTAAAGAAAACATATTAAATAGTTAATTAAAATTAGAAGAACAAGGAAATCAAATCGGTACAGCTAACCTATTTCCAAAACATCCCTCATAATTATTTCTTTCACATGCTACAAGAAAGTATTAAAAATGACCTTTTCATATGGTTTGCTGCATCCAAAACCAAATATCAGAAGATGCCCATGAGAATCTGTACAGGCAAAATGCTGTCCGTCCTGTGAAAACTTACAGTCAAACACAGCTCCATGTCCTTGGCCTTCAATCTAGGAAACCCAGAGAGAAAAAAGTTAGGAGTAAGTCTATGAAAGTGCTTTTGCTATATAAACTTTTTAAATGCAGATAACCTGCTACAATATATCCCTTCTGAAAAAAAAATTTAAAAACGAATTTTACATTAAGAACATACATCAATAATAAGAAAACAGAATTCATCTTACATAACACTTTCTTAGAAAAAGATCTTGAAAGATCTTCTAAGCATTAGTTTTCCAAATGATCAAATGAAGCTCATAAACCAATCAAGTGAAAGCTTTCTCTACTTCTCACAAGTGAATGATAAGCAATTTCATAAACTTTTGTTTTAATGTATAATAAAAGGCTAATAAACTACTAGTAAATGAGAAAAAGATAAACAAAGTTCGGCATTACTGAAATAACTGACCACCACGCAAAAGTTGGCAATGCTGCAAATCTCAAGGGTACATATGTAAATGCCTACAGCTACCTTTACTGCAAACAACCACAGATTTCAGGTAGGATGCTCTAAGTGCTTCATGAAGCGTACCTTAAATAAATTACTTTTAAACTGTTTTATTCTTCCTTTTTAGCTGTAAATGTTATTAGTTTAGCATTATCAATTTACAGTTAAGTTAGCTGTTTGGTTAACTCTACATTGTACAACTAAGCATACTTGTTGTCTGGGCCTGTAACTTTCCAACAACTCAACTTTAAGCCAAGTGTGTTCAGTGTTGGAAAAATGAACCATCCACCCACTAACTGCCAAAGCAAACTCACATTTATGGCCAAATAAGTCACTGCTTAGAAAGTGACCCTTCATTACTGCTATACTGTACATGAATGAGAGCCAATTAGCAAATGTGGAATAAATAAAGTTAACTGTGATATTTACGGAACTGCTGAAGAAGATAATACGTATAACGTTTGTATTCTCTCATAACATAAAAAGAAATGTATTTTTTCTCAACCTGACTGCTAAAACATGGGAACACAGATTCACCCACATGCATCACTGGCCTACTAGGGCCTCCAGTCTTAATAAAGTAGACGCAGGTGGGGAGAGAGTAGTGAAAGCCCAAAGCTGGCAAGGTTAAGATGGTGTTAGTTACTCCTTTCGCCATACATGTGGACCTAATTACACCAAAAGCTTTTCCAGGGATACTTGCGAAGAAGAAAGTTTCCCAAGAGAGCAAACCTATCTAAGCACACCAAGCCAGACTTTGGTTTTGAAGTGTAATTTGATAATTCCTACATAATGATTACTGACAAAATGCAACCTGCAACTGTGCCTGGAGAACAATTCAATATCACATTGAAGTTTCTTATGTATTTATAATATACTGTTCTGTTAGAAATTGAAAACCCTGCATAGTTTGTCTAGCATTAAAGAATTAAGAGCCTCTCAGCTGAGCAGTGAAAAGGAGAACTCAGTATACAGGGCCAATTTGTGGTGTCCGACTAGAAAGAAGACTATCCTTGCCCACTTGAGACTTCTCAGATTATTCTTTGGATTAGAGACTGTTCAGTTCATATTCTATTTAAAGCCTGAACTAATGTAGTTTTTGTTATGACAAGTTAAATTCAGGATGCAATAGTCTTATTGTGTTTTAAAAGATAATTAAGGACACTGATGAATACAATAAATTTTGAAACCACAGAAAAATTGTCCAAGGCTTAGTCCTTTTTCCAATAATTTGAACACACAGAGACACCTTTCAGAGATACCTAATTATATATTTGTAGTTTGGTCATGCTTTTTGAGATGATTTAGAGTGCATTTAACGTTAGTAAGTAAAATACTGCATTTTATACTGTTAAGGAACTGTCCAGAATGAGCATATTTAAATAAAGATTTTAAGGTTTAAAAAAAACACATACATGGGAACAACATGGATTTGAATGACCTTCAGGCAAAGGTCCAAGAACCACTTATCTCTAAGCTGCCTCCAAAATTAGTTACTATGAATTAGAACTCAACATAAGTCAAGGGTAATTTCGCAAAATTTATCTCGCATATAAAGCTTTAACAATGTTAAAACCCTTTTACATAGTATTTCCTTCAAAATTTATCCTCAGGAAACAATCATGTACAAGGATATTCAAAGTATTACTGCTGTGAGGGCCAGCCCGTGGCTCACTTGGGAGAGTGTGGTGCTGATAGCACCAAGGCCAAGGGTTCATATCCCTATGTAGGGATGGCCAGTTAGCTCACTTGTGAGAACGTGGTACTGACAACACCAAGGCAAGGATTAAGATCCCCTTACTGGCCATCTTTTTTTCTTTTTTTTGACCAGTAAGGGGATCGCAACCCTCGGCGCAGTGTGGTGTGGTCTGCACCACGCTTGAGCATGCCGGCCATCCCTATATAGAAACCGCAGCAAAAAAAAAAGTATTATTGCTGTGCATTTTTAGAAATGCCTTAAATACTCAACAATAAGAAATACAGTGTGGTGTGGTCTGCACCACGCTTGAGCATGCCGGCCATCCCTATATAGAAACCGCAGCAAAAAAAAAGTATTATTGCTGTGCATTTTTAGAAATGCCTTAAATACTCAACAATAAGAAATTAACTATATAATTTACTTCCTCCCAAGACAGGCTGAATTTACTTTCCCAAATATATTTGTAAATTCTTTAAAAATATTTAAGGCTTTCAAAAGAGGTTTTTACATAAAATGAAGATTAAAAAACTATGTTGCAAGGATTCAACTAATAAATATGAAAGGAATGATATCATTAGAAAATTTTCAGTGAATGTGAATATTTGTGGGTGAAAATTTGATGAACAGGACATTTACAAAAGTCTCAAAACAGCTACTGAAAAAAATTAGCCTAATAATTACCAAGAGGATAAACAATTATTTTATGTATTGGAGAAACCTGGCAGATGACACCATAACCAAAAAAAATCACCAACAGTACGACAAATAAATATCACATGCCTCTTAACATGACACATGGCGAACACAATATCATTTATGTTTTATTCCATCAAAAAAACATGTAACAGAATCTCATCATAGGGCCGACCTGTGGCTCACTTGGGAGAGTGTGGTGCTGGTAACACCAAGACCATGGGTTCGGATCCCTATACAGGCATGGCTGGTTAGCTCACTTCGGAGAGTGTGGTGCTGACAACACCAAATCAAGGGTTAAGATCCTCTTATCGGTAATCTTTTGAAAAAAAAGGAAACAATCTCATCATGAAAAAATATTAGACAAAACTGAGGGACAGCCTATAACATTATTTGCCTATAAGCATCAAAAGTTAAAGGGCAAGGGCCGGCCCGGTGGTGCACTGCTACAGTGCGCCGCTTGGAAGCGCAATGGCGCTCCCGCCAAGGGTTCAGATCCCACATACAGACCGATTCCCGCTCACTGGCTGAGCGAGGTGCGGGCGCAACACCGAGGGTTGCGATCCCGTTGCCAGACATGAAAAAAGACAAAAAGGAAAAAAAAAAAAGTTAAAGGGCAAGAAAGAAAAAAAGAGCTGAGAAACTGCTGAGGATTAAAGAAAACTAAGGAGATATAACCACTTAATGTAATACATGTGTTTGAACTGGATCTTGGTCCAAGGAGCAAAATATAGGTATAATGACAATGGAACAATTAAAAAAATTATCAATGTTAAAATTGTTGATTAATAACTGTATTGTGGTTATGTAAAAGAAATTCTAAAAATATACAACAGGATCCTAATTTGGTTCTAAAATATACACGTGCAAAATCATTTGATCCCTAGATTAAATATCTAGAGATGCTTACTCAATATTACTTTACTGAGTTATTTTTCATTTTTATTATCAAATATTTCACTAAATTCAGTGAAAAAGTTGTTTGCATAATTACCATAAATTTGCCAATTTATACACACAGACAGGCACACATGCATACACAAAAATCTACACAGATAACTTTTGAAAGTCTTTTCCTTAGATAAATCAGTTATACAGAGAACTTCATATATATGGCTGTCAGATATTTATTAGGTTTTAAATACCCTGATATCTAGAAACAAACTGCCAAAACATGCAGATCAGTTTCTGGTTAAACGTCAGAATTCAAATACTCTAAACAAATGCAAACATACATAAAGACATACCTTACTTCACTTACCATATTAAAGTAATGTTTCATCTTGGTGCCTTTTGTAATATCCCATATAAATATGCTACCATCATGTCCTGCAGATAACATAATTCTGGAATCAAAGGGATGTGTCTCCAAAACAAATACTTCATCAGCATGTCCCTTTATTCAACAAAGTCATAACATTAAGGAGGGTTTACAAGTTACAATTTGAAAATTAAATACATACTGTCATCATAGTATATAAGGGCTTTTAAAAATGTATTAATGACAATAATTTATACATTATTATATTTAAACATTTCTAGTCATTTGATAGTTTAAGAAAAGGAAATAACAGTATATTAACTTTACAGTTTCAAAATAGACTATAGTTCAAAAAATCTGATTTGTCATATTGTATAAAAACTGCCTACCAACAAGTTATGAAGCAGTTGTCCAGTATAAGAATTCCATACTTTGAGGACATGATCATTCACAGCTGTGACAACAATACTATCATTCTGATTCCAAGCTATCATTGTTACTTTGGGTTTCATAAACCTTTCCTCTTCTGAAGATAAATCCCTAACAAAAAAATACATAATGTGTAAACTTATTTGCATGGTATGCTATACAATGTATACAATCCCTCATCGATACAAAAATAAAGAAATCCAATTTATGTGCCTATTTTATCAACTCTATAGAGGATTCATCACATCTGGAGTGAAGGGATAAGTTAGAAGCAATTCAGAGATTGAATAAGGGCAGATTTTAGGACACCATTGCTACTTATAAAAACAAAGCTTTTTCTCCCTACCCCTCTTCTATTATTCTCTTCTCCTGACCCCAAACCTATTGCTTATACTTATTTTCAACTGTTTCTTTCTCTGGAGAAGACAAACATTACAGGAAGGAAAAAAGATAATTCATCTTCATATCCCCTATGTCTAGAAAAATACCTGACACACAGACACTCAATTTGTTAACTGTAAATGAGACAGTACTCATCACTGTACTTCCCTACAGACTATTCCTAAGGGCCCCTTGGCAAGAATGGTCTTGGATATACATGTCTGCAATGTTTTATAGCCTTCATGAAAATGATATACATAGTTTCTCTGTAAACTATAGTAGTCAGTAGTAAACAGTGGGAGAACAGGAAAAGGCCTTATTTGTTCTCAACTCATAGAACTCATTCTAAGAAATTATAAGCATCTAACACATATGTTAATTAACAAAGAAAATAGCGATAAGAATCTGGAATAAGTGCTATATAACTATTATCCATGTAAGCACAAAGGAACACACAGAGAATAATTTTAACTAGATTGGTTGAGGGTAAGAATAACATGAGGTGAAATGAAATAAAAGCTAAGACTCCACTCTTCACTTTAAAGGCTTTCCCAATTATTAACTTTAAATTTGGTAACAGACATGTTGCATTTCATCATGTTTAGACAAGATTAGAACACTAAAACAAACATATCCGTCAATTCTTACATACAGAAGACTGCTTTTCAAGATTTAAAAGCAGAAAGTTTTAAATGAGAAAAGAATATTGCCATCACGAAGGGAATTATAGGAAACGTTCCCTCCATGAAGAGTATGGCAGCAAGAAAACTAAGCAGTTTTAGCCTCACTTTAAAAAAAAAAATTTTTTTAAGTTCTGTCACTGATGTTCCCCTTTTACCTGACAAAATAACTGCTCAGGTGTAAATATAATTTCAAATTCTCTTCACTCCCATTCCCCTTCATTATTTCAACTAATCAAAGACTGACAGTTTTCACTTTCACACAGAGATGCTCTTGAATCTCCAAATGTAACATTTACAGAGATGCTCTTGAATCTCCAAATGTAACATTTTTATATAATGGTAAAGATCTTTTGTTTATGGGTTATCAAATTCCTAGTATAAATTCTTTCTACTCTCCACCACAAATAATTTCACAAAAATACTAAGATCAAGTTTATTTCGAAAACTAGAGTTCTCTGAGCTACAGCGGAGAACATAAATCAATTTCTGATACTGAAAATAAAGCAGACATGATGATTTCCAAAAGACAAAATGTGGAACATTTCTCAGAAAAACTAATATGAAAAAGTATAAACTTTGGAAACAAACTCTAAAGTAAAATTTATGACTTTAGTATTCTATTACAGTGTAACTAAAGTAACAATGTTATTTACAACAGGCAAAAGAACATTGATATGCCTACCCTATCCCAGACAATGAGCTAGAAGCTTTCATCACATCATTTAAACTTCTCAATAATGCTTAAAGTAGTCTCATTTCTCAGATAATAAAACAGATTAATATTAAATGATATTCTCAAAATCACACAGCTATAAACAATATATGTGGTATTTGAGCCAAGGTCTGACTCCAAAATATGTACTCTTTCATCACCCATACTGCCTCCCTATATAGATAAACCAAAAGAACACTGTATTTCAATTTTGCAATATTTATCTTGGAAAGTGCTACTTATTCAAAGCTGCTCACAATACGCTTGAAACACTGGCAGTAGCAGCATTGAGAAATATGCCTTTCAAGCCATTTTACAAGCCAAAATTTTAGTATGCAGAATTCCCATTGGGGCCTAATTTTTTTAAATCTTAACCATAAAGTACGTTTGCTTACTTCACCTTCCAGCCTTAGTTCCAAGCTACTTTTTAAAAAATCCAAAAATCCTATCCACAGAAAAGTAAAATTTCCCCATTTGACATACTTCAGTTAATTTCATATATATATATTTTTTAATTGTAGGAGGTTTAAAACGTTAACACCTAAGAAGGAGGTCAATGCTTTGAGCAATAGAACAAGTACATGTTGTTCTTTCCTACATAAATGTAAGGATAAATTCTTTTTAATATACCAGATTTAAGTATCTGTTTATTAGATATCCAATAGGTAGCTATTCACTCAGACCACAGCTTTTCATAACAGGAGGTGGCTATAATCCCCTCGACAAAATAACCAACAGACAGACAGTGACAAAGACACAGAGAAGACAAGTACCTATGATGCATCTACTTCTAACAAACAATCTCAACTCACCCTGAGATTCTGGTAGTCATATCCAATAAAATGCTTCTCCATCCTAACTGCTCAAATCTCCAAATCCGTGCTGTTCCATCTCTGCTACCACTTAGGAACCTTAAAATATTCAGAAAAAGACCTTATACACACACGTGACACCAAGGGCTACAATTAAAATCATGAGAAAAAAAATTCTAATGTAGCCGTCCTGATGACAGGTGAATCTACAGGAGTTAATTTTTAAAAATGGGCAAATCTAGACAGAAAAAGTCTGGTTTGTTATGATTTGCTTGGCCCTATTAAAAAAAAACACATTTCAAACTCAATCAATAGCTTTTCAAACATATTTGAGTTTTGAGAAGACAATGTATAAGAAATACTTAGAGAGGGGGAAAAATTAAAGAAACTTGGGAAAATTAATAAGAGCAAAAGCTCCGTTTTAAGCATCTTACTCTAAACTCAAATTAATTCATGCTGGACACTGTGTAAAAATTTAATCTACTTAACAATTAAGGTGTTAAACACTACAGTTTAGGAAAGGCACCTGACACACACTGGGGTGCCAGAAAGAAGGATATAATTTAAGTAATAATTTTGTTTCAGGATACATCACAGTGGTTGACTAGGAAAGACTTTTTTTAAAAAAAACTACTCAAACATAGGAATTTCATCATCCTCATACCTAATTTTTTCAGTAAATCTGACATCTAGCCAAAGAACTTTTGGTCACAGAAGCCAGCAGAAACTACAATTCTAAAAGTTTAAATTTCATGTGTTCCCCCACACCTCAGATACTTTTCATTCAATTAATACATTTACTAATAAATACCTGCAATATACAAAATGATAGTGACTATAGTTAATAATGTATATTTCAAAACTGCTAAGAGTAGATTTTTTTAAGTATTGTCACCACAAAAAAAGGTAAATATGTGAGGTGATGGATATGTTAATTAGCTTGATTTAATCATTCCACAATGGAAACATATCAAAACATTACATTGTGCCCCATACACATATATAATTATTTGTCAACTAAAAATAATAATATAAAGAGAAAAAACTATATGAAGTGATGTATTAGCTATAATAATACATAGCACATATTTGTCTGAAAAAAACAAAAATACAAATGTACACTTACCGATCACCATTGTTACAAAATTGGATACTATCTACTTTATCCTGAGGAGGAAAAAAAACGAATACAAAAATGATCGTCTACATAGTTTGTAAATATAAAAAATTTTTTAGTACTAGAAGCACATTTGGCTTAACAAGCAAGAGACTTACACTTGTGTTGCTTAGCCCAGTTATTCAACATGTTTTGTACTTTTAAATTTAGACTCTAACTATGAACCTATCAAGACTACTAAGATACAGCTCTCATTTCGAAGACAGACATATGCAGAAGAAAAAAAGCCTTGCTTATAAAATTAAAGCTGTATTTATAATGACATGTTTAAAATGACTTGTATAGAAATGAAATGTGTGGAAAATAGCCAAAATATAAAGACTTTAAAGCAGCTGAAAACATGTCATTTTCACTTTGATGATGATTTAAGTACAAAAAAATTATTTTCTTTTAAAGTGAATTTGAAACTATGTTTATCAAATAACCTAGATGTGAACTGGCTTCCCTAAATCTTCCTACAGGAAAAAAGATGACCTGACCCTTTAACCAATATTTTAGAATACTGAGAGTTATCTATCTTACCATACATTGATAAACTAGCACTTTGATTTCATGAGACTCATTAGGATAAGTAGGCCCAAGTGAAACTAACTCACCCGGATCAACTGTTATAATCAAGATTTTGGACTTAAAATAGCTACTATAAAATATTATTACTCTCAATGTGCTACTGAGTTCCCAGTGTAATCCCTCCCCTTTAAATGCAATTCCTCATACACTTAAGCTAAAATTAGAATAGAATTAACAAAAGCCATATTGTATCTGGACAATGTCATTTTTATAAATAAAAATCTCTTAATTTTAATTATTATTTTAACAGTTCTATATATTTAACAAAAATTTTTTAAAAAATCACAATAACATCTCAGAAATGTAACCGATTTAATATTTTAAAATCTAATAACCACATCAAAATTCTTTAAAATAAAATTCATTTGCTCAATAGAAAAAAAAAAAGTAAAAAATAAAATTAGACCCAATACAAATTACCCTTAGCAATAACAGAAATGTTATTAACAATCTACAGAATGTTAAAACGTGAATGCTTACAGTGTGACTTTCAAGTTCTGCGATTTTTTCGGGTGCTTCAAAACCCAAAAAATACATTCTGATTACATGATCAGTACTACCTGTGGCTAAAAACATACCACCTGAAATAAAAATGTTAAGGTTTAAACATCCAGTTTATAGCAAATTTCTCAAGAAATCAAATTTCTATATTAACATATAGAAAAGATCTCTTATTCCAAAACTAAGTTTACCTCAATAAATCTATTTTCTAATTCACTATATGAAAAGCTTATAAAACTATATTTATGATGCAATCTTATAACACTAAGGTCACAGGTTCAGATCCCTGTACCAGCCAGCCACCAGGAAAAAAAAAAAACTATTTGTGGCTTTATTAAACAAAGTAAATTTTAATTCACTCTGGAAACGATCACAATCTTCCTCTGTTTTAAGTGTAGCAATATCAGGACCACTCAAGTGCCACAGCTCTAAAAATACTTGAACAAAAGGGGTTCTGCTTTCTAAACAACTTTACATACCTAACCTAGCTGTGGAATACAAAGTTCATTTGTTGAAGTTTTCAGACTTTTATGAGGGAAAAGTCTTTGCCTATCCTTGAAAAAAAGGGGGGGGAGGGGGATAATTTCACAAAGATGTAACGTGGAAAACAAATCTAAACTATGAAAAATATGCAGTTTAGCTTGAAGAAGAAAATCACAATTTTGGTATATCATACACATGGGGCACATGGCACAGGAATCACTCACATAGACACCTTAAGCCTCCTTTCTGCTCTGACTGATGACTATTAGAAATCAGAGAAAGGTAGAACTGGAGAATAGAAGACATGAAAAAGGCTAATTAAATGAACATCATAAATTATACCTAATGAAATGAACATCATAAGTCATTTACCACTTATCTGATAAAGGTTCTTAGCAATAATGTGGTCATTCAATAAATGCTAAAATAAAACTATGAAAAAAAATTACTGAAGAAGTTATCTTACCAACACTAAAAGAAGAACAAAGCATCTGAACGCCTGGCCTAGGCTTTTCAGTGAACTTCAGGGGACGTGGACTTTAAAAGAAGATGTTGTTATTTTAAAATACATTAGTTTAACACATTGATACAGTTTAAAATATTAGTTTTTCATCTAGCATATTTAAGTATTATAATTTTATTTCTATAGTATCTTACTGTATAATTTTATTTCTATAGTATCTTACTGTATAATTTTATTTCTATAGTATCTTACTGTATAATTTTATTTCTATAGTATCTTACTGTATAATTTTATTTCTATAGTATCTTACTGTATAATTTTATTTCTATAGTATCTTACTGTATAATTTTATTTCTATAGTATCTTACTGTATAATTTTATTTCTATAGTATCTTACTGTATAATTTTATTTCTATAGTATCTTACTGTATAATTTTATTTCTATAGTATCTTACTGTATAATTTTATTTCTATAGTATCTTACTGTATAATTTTATTTCTATAGTATCTTACTGTATAATTTTATTTCTATAGTATCTTACTGTATAATTTTATTTCTATAGTATCTTACTGTATAATTTTATTTCTATAGTATCTTTTATATCTATAGTATCTTATCTTATTTCCACTTATGCTATCACATACAGAAGAATTTTAGAAAACACTGTCCAACCCCTACCTTCATGCCAATACTACTACACAGAAAGAGCAGGCCTTCTAACCCCATTTTTAAAGTGAGATGCTTAAAGCTCAGTATCTAAGCAAATCCATCACCAAGGCTGCAGAGGAGGGTATAAACCACCAAAGCATATCACACTATCCAACAGAAAGAGAATGCAAGCCACTTATGTAACTTTAAATTTTCCAGTAGTCAGATTTTTTAAAAAGAGATAAAATTTATTTTATTTCATTTAAACCAATATACCCAAAATATCAAGTCAACATGTAATCAATGTTAATAAAAATTTAATGAGCTACTTTAGATTCTTTCTCTCGTATTAAATCTTTGAAGTCTTCTAGTGTGTATTTGACACTTATAATATATTCCAATTTGAACACTCGGTTTTCATTAAAAGTAGTTGATCTGTATTCGGATTTCCTAAAACTTAGTTGAAAAATTCACATATCGAAGTTGTTCAAAACACACTTAAAAGTCTACTTAATTAACTGGATTAAGTATCAGTTTTTAAATTTAAATTAAGGATTTCCTAAAACTTAGTTGAAAAATTCACATATCGAAGTTGTTCGAAACACACTTAAAAGTCTACTTAATTAACTGGATTAAGTATCAGTTTTTAAATTTAAATTAACAATTCAGTTCCTTGATTGCACTAGTAACATAGTCATATATGGCTAGTGGCTAATGTATTGGACAGTATAGGCCTATAATCCAGGTCTCATGATCCTCAAGTGTTCCTGCCTAAATTTCCATTTACGTACCTAGTTTTACACTTCTAAATTTTAAAAAAAGTCTCACATACATATTATCTCACTTTGTTTTCACAAGAATGTGCTAAGATAGAAATGCTATGCTTCTTTTACATATCCAACAATCTAAATAATTGTAAACAGTAAACAGTCAATATGGCACATATACTGTAATAATACAAATTAAGTTTAAAAGTAAAAAGGCAACCACAATACATAATTTATCTTCACAATTAAACATCATGTCATTAAATCACTAATCAAAACTACGTTAAAGAAAAAAACTTATTACATAATTAAAGTCACTTACCTGAATTTTAGAGATTCTAAATCCCACTGCCAAAAGCAAACTGTCCCATCAGCACCAGTGGAAACCATATATCTTTGAGAGCCTTTGGCCATTGGGCTGAACTAAAAAGCAATATATACAACTCAGCTTCTACAGATTCTACCTCAATTACAGTTTAACAGTTTTCAAAGTTAACTTCAACTGACACATTAAGGAAGTAAAACAAGAAGTCCAAAATACAGGTGATACTATTGCAGTAGAAAAACATAACCTCTCTAATTTATATGTAACATAATCTCAACATAAGACTGTTTCATAACTAATAGACAAGATTACCTAGAAAAACCTTCTATAAAATGAAGATCTAGTCATATCAGATATTAAAGCACATCACATAGCTTCCCTCAACAATTAAAACTATTGGGTATAGCAGGTAAACTGACAGCACGACCAATGGAAAAATATAAAGTCCAGAATGGAGCCTAATACAGACTTAAGTAAGGCAGGATAAAGGTGCCATTTGAAATGTGTTCAGGAAATAATGGATCACTACATAAATGATATTATGACAACTATGCAGCAATCTGGATGAAAAAATAAAATGAGATCCATTCTTCAGATGGTAAGGAAATCAGGATAAATTCCAAATGGATTAATGATTTAAATATTTAAAAGACAAAATGGCAAAAACATTACAAGCAAACACATGAATTATATTGTAATTTTGGAACAGAGCTAATATTTCTGTTTAATAAAATACCAAGTGTGCTACACAGAAAAAGATCAATTGGGTATGGAGACATCCAGGAAGATGGAAATTACAAAAAATATACTAAGCAAAGGAATAAAATCAGCACAAGTTCGAAAGTGACAGGAAATACAACTACGTAATAGGAAGAGAAACATCTTAGTGAAGTGTTCACATTGAAGGTCATAGGAAAATGGGTTCATGAGTAGTGATCTTCTGTACTTAACAGAAAGTTAAAAGGTAACTGTAGTTTTCAAGTAAAAGACCAAAAGCAGTGAAAAGATTTGTCTGACAGCAGTATACAACACTGATTGAAAGGGATCAGATAAAATGTAATAAAGACCCAAGAACCTATCCAGTTAATCTAAGCAGCAAGAACTGTAACTAGAGGGCAGCTCCTCCCTCCACTCCCCACAAAGAGAAAGAAAGCCAAGAAGAAAGAAGCAAAAAGACTTGCTGACTCATGAGACATTCAAGATAAAGAAGGAGCTTGGAAAACAAAGACTAGTAGTGCCATTACTAAAAGAAGGAAGAGCTGGGAAGATACAATGAATTGTTTTTTAAAACGCTAAAAGTGATTATTTACATCTAAACAGATATGTTCTAGAATATGGCCTAATTGAGTTTTGCAGACTATCTCATTAAAAGTAACAGGAAAAACTAATATAACTGAAGTTACACTCATGAGTGAAAATTCTTAACTAAATTCAAACGCCACAGAAAAATTTGCAACCTTGTACAGAGTACTTTAAGAATTCTAAACCTGAATGTCTATGGAAGAGTACTTTTACTTTGTCACCTGTGTTCTAAATCTAATTCCCACATATATAAGTAGTTTGTTGCTCTCCACTTTTGTTCCCCCTATATCTTTGTCTGTTCCTGAATTGACAACATAATGTTTTCTTTATAACAGCTCTAAAGCATTTTTAAATATCTAGCATGTCTAAATGCTTTTGGGGGTGGGGGTGAGAAAAATGGAGTTAAGTGAGGCCCTCTCTCACCTCATATCCAGCTGGGTATGATTCAGCACATCCCTTGTAAACAACTGACATAAGAGTAGAGTTAGTGAGCATGCACGCCTGTGTACCCCTTGGCTTGTTGCCACTACTGTGTGTACTTTCAGTATGGGAAGGCAGGTTCAGCTGGTTGGCAGAACTTGCATCTGAAGAATAAAGCATGTCCACTTTGCCAGCGGCTGTTCGATTTTTCTTTCACTTACCTGACTCAGGACCTGCTTGGGACGGGGTAGAAAGATGTGTGCCAGCCTGACAATTGGTGTGGTTGGCAGGATTCTGAGCAGTAAGGGAGCCACTAGCCCACCCGAGGGGGAGAAAATGTGGCTACCGTCAAGTATGTGGTAACCGGCTGTTGCTTTTCTGTTGAGTGGGGTCTGGCTATTGCTCACTGTATTACGAGTCAACATGGACCAGGCACTCCATAAAGTGGTGCTCCTTCAAGATTTGCAGCAGAAAGCAGACTTGTTGGAAGCACAGGTACTTGTTCTGGAGGCTGAAGTACAACAACAGGTCACTCCTGCTTCCAACACAGGGGACAATGACAAACCCAATGGTGAGCTGAGGGAAACTATGTGTCCCCTAACACGACCTGTTGTGCATCAGAAACTGAAGCATGAACAGCCCATAAGACAAGGTGGGCAACCAGTAGGCAACCCACGAGTGACCCAATTCACTTCTTATGTCCCCTACACTCAAGCTGAGTGGGTGGCATAGGGAAACAGTTCCAGCAGAAACAGGGTGAACTCCTAGCTGCTTGGCTTTTGCTGTGGGACCTAGGGGTGGATGCCATGATGTGCTCTGGTGAGGAGATGGAAAAGGTGGCTTCCATCACCACGCATCCACCCCTGCAGCAATGGTTACAGAACAGCTGTAGATATGCACTGGGACAGGAACCACTCCTTGATGGAATGGGTGAATGCAGCTCTCCAGACCGTGTGGACGAATGCCAGAGAACTGCCCGAAACCGTGAGTAAATGGCAAACATATGCCAAGCTAGTCCAAGTGATTCAGGAGCTGGGGATGCAACAGTCTATATTTAATGTGAACACCCCAAGGCCCAGACAATGACACTTCACAGGCCTGAGGGATGTAGTGCCACAGAATGCTCCATCAACATCCTTTGGGTTACTGGTGGCTATACTGGCCCCGTATGTTGGTTGTCCCACACATGAGGTGATGACCATGATGGCCAGTCTGGGTGAAGCAGAGGGAAGGAGACAAGCAAAAGGGGTCCGAAAGGTGACTAAGACTAAACTCCAAAGAACTGCTAGGGATTTTACCTCGAAGGAACCGAGCAAGACCAGCCATACACAGATGTGGTTTGACTTACTTATGGCAGGAGTTGAGAGGGAAAAAAAATCGACTGGCGGCCAACTGTGGTCCTGTTTGCCTTGTGGCAACAATTGCTGCCCCAAACAGCGTTTCACCAAATCTCCAGAAACAGGTGGCAAGGTACACCCAGTGTATTTAAAAGATTTTTTGGTTACTTCTGCAGAGGCGGATGGACTGTTCTCTTTTGGCTAGGAACCAGGCCGAAGTCCTTGTCTTTTGGGGGTAGAGGAGGACCAGAGGCCTCATGTTGAACTGGTAATACATTGGTCTGAGACAAATGTACAGCATGTGTTAGTGCTGATGGACACTGGCGCAGGCTGTAGCTTGATACATGGCAACCCAGATAAGTTTCTAGAGGCAATAGTGAATGTTGATGATTATGGAGGACAGACTATTATATTCAAAGCTGTGTCTTTTATGCCAAGCACTGGACAATTGCCCCCTCATGTATATACTATGTATGTATCTCCTATATCGGAATACATCTTGGGTACAGATGTACTTTATGGGTTACACCTGGGAACAATGGTTGGAAAATTCCAGCTGCAGATACAGACAGTAAAGCCTATGCTGCGGGGACACGTCAAGCATGATCCACAGGTGTCACCTAAGTCAAGGCATGTGGTCAATGTGAAAAAGTACCACCTGCCGGGAGGACATGCAGAGACAGGTGCCACTATCTTGGAGTTGGAGAAGGTTGGTATCATTCATCCTGCACCTGGTCCTTTAACACCCCACTATGGCCAGTGAAAAAAATCTGATGGGACCTGGAGGATGACTGTGGACTATCAGGAACTGAACAAAGTAGTGCTTCCTTTGCATGCAGCTGTGCCTTCAGTTCATGACTGGATGGATCAGCTGAGGACTCAGCTAAGAACTTATCATTATGTACCAGAAAAAAAAGCATTTCCAAGTTCTATCTTGATCCCGGCTGAGAGCCAAGATCAATTTGCGTTCACCTGGGAAGGAAGGCAACAGACTTTTAAAGTATTGCCCCAAGGCTATGTGCATAGCCCAACCATCTGTCATGGTTTAGTGGGTGGGGACCTAGCCAGGTGGACTAGGCCCAGCATGGTTACAGTGTTTCATTGCATAATGATGTTTTACTAACCTCTCATTCTCTTGCAGATTTAACCAAAGTGGCTCCAACACTGCAAGGTCATTTGGCAAAATATGAGTGGGCCATATATAAGGATCTTACCATTTGGATATCTACTTGGAAGTATCAGCAGTGGCTGTTACATCACTGACACCTGTGGGACAAGCCACATGGCAAGACTTATGGGAATTAGGACATAAGAAGGAAGTAAGTCTTTTCCACATCACAGGACACTTCCCCTTAGCCAGTCTGCATAATGGTGAAGCTGACACACTGGCAAACATAAGATGGCTGGAGAGAGCTCCAGCAGCTGATGTAGCTGGGTGCCTGCATTGGAGAACGCAGCATGCTGGCTGCAAGACCATGTGGTTATGGCCCACCAGGTGCCGCATAAACCCAAGAATGCAGCATGCTAACTGCAAGACCGTGTGGTTGACAGCTTAACAGATGCCGCATAAACCTGAGAATGCAGCATGCTGGATGCAAGACTGTGTGGCCGATGTTTCAAAGGGTGCCACATAAACCTGAGAAAGAAAGCCCCTGATGGGGAGATGTACCCTTGCTAGCCAGGTGCCACATGCAGATAAGCAGAAAACCCAAGAGGAAGATGCTCCTAACATGGTGGCACGTAGATCTTGTGAGATCACTGCCAAAGTCAGAAAACTATAGGTATATCTTCACAGCCATTGATAAGGCTACTGGTCTTCTGTTTGTATGGTCTAGTAAGGCCCCAGACAAGGTAAGCACTATTAAGGTGCTGAATAGCCTTACAGCCATGTACGGCCGGCCCCTGGTCATAGAGAGTGATAATGGAACCCACTTTACCGGACATGAAGTACAGAAGTGGGCTTCTCAGTGGAAGTTACATGTGCCATATCATCCCCAGGCATTGGGAATGACTGAATGGTACAATGGTCTTCTGAAAAA